TTTTTTCTTTGCCCCCTTCTAGCTTTTAAAAGCTTGTTATGCTTGCGTATATTTTGTTAGTGATTTAGGAATGTTTGCAACACTGGGGTCATGGGACGAGGGGATTCGAGCATTTCTTCAAGATGCAGCCCAAAAAGCTCCTCAGCCCTGGGACATGGACTATGAAGAGAGGAGGCGAATGACACATGAACCGCGGGTGCGACGCCAATTAGAGCTAGAGGACCAATGGAAGTACACTTGCATGGAAGGGATATGGGATGGAATGCGTCGTTTTGCACGTCCTACAGAAGATTACAAGGTATCAGAGGCTCGTTTTCGCGAGTACCTCGTTTCAGTAGGTATTTCCAGTGAGTTTCTGGAGAATAAACTTTATGACGTTTTTAAGTCAGAGAAGAGCCCTGAAGTTGATTTTCTTCGGACTTGCAAGGCGCTGCATTTAGGTTTGACAGAGGTTGGTACCTCTTTCAAATTTCTTGAACACTGTTACAATTCTCTTGCCCTCAGTCCCGTTTCTGAAGAGCTGGATCGTGCTACTATCCAGCGCGCCTGTGAGTTGCAGCGCCGCAGGAATGATAAAAAGACCGCATTAACAGCGTGGGAGTTGAAGTTGCAGCAACTAGAGGGTGTTTTGCAGTACTTTGAAGAGACAGGGGAGACGAGCTTCGACATTGGTGCCTTTCGTTCCATGTTCTTTGACGAAAAGTGGCGTTATTGGGCGGGGAGCTTCATCAAACCATTACTCGAAGCAGCTGCAAAGTACTTTAGCTTCCCATATGGCGTTTTCCCCACCATTCCTTTGCGGTGGACAAAGACGACGGAGCCTCTGCCCTACGACAGGCATGCTGTGTATGACGCGGATTCGCTTCTTTTGCGAAACGTTGAACTAGCAGGAGGCGACACTGCTGCGAAGAAGAAAAAAGGCCGGAAAAGTAGCCGTCGTTTCTCTCCGAGAAGAAGGTGAATATGTAATGTATGTATATAAATTTATGGAGTATTGCGATCCTGCACCTACAGTTACATACGGTGTAGAGAAGATGCAGCAAGGAAGCAAGCAGGCGTACTGTTTCTCCGTTGATCTCCTGCGGTGGTGGTGGGGCATATCTTCCTTCACGCTCCCTTTGCTTTCCACCCCTGGAATACGCGGTGTCACGTTTGGATACAAATGGTGATATATATATATATATATTGTTATATTATTGATATTGTTATTGTTTTTATACTTGCTTAGCAACACTCTCTTTTTCACATTCCCACCTTTATTCACTTGCTTCTTTTATGTGGCGAATTTTTTTTTGATTTTGACTGCTTTTTTTCCCCTTCCCCTTTCTTCTTTTCTTTTGCTTTTTGCCTTTTTCTTATTCCTTTTTGCTCTTGTTTTTCCAGTAATAGCCACGCGAAGCATGCAGGACTACCGCGCTGAAATTCAAGTCATGGCGCGCGCGTACCAGTATCGGCTTCATCCCTTTGCATTAAAGAGCTTTTCAGACTATCTTGCAAATACGACCGGGGACAGTGAAAGGCGACGAGATGCACTCCGAGACCTCTTTGCGACGCTCCATAAGCTGTGCGCGGCGGACCGATTTGTGGATGATGCAAAAATGCGGCTGGCGATTGCGCAGCTGTCGGTCAGGGATAGAGGAGCTTCTGAGCGGGAAGGCGCTCCAACGGTTATTCCCATTCCCTTAGAGGATACGCCCTGCGTGTACATGGATGAGCGGACAGGCGAGATCAAGGTGCAGCGCACAGGGCATGAGGACGGTCGTTTCACTGTCCTGCGGCAACGTTATTTATTTGCGCAGCGGCGTTGTCTACGAAGTGGCTTGTTTCGTCGGGATCTTAACAAGCGGTCCTTGAATCAGAATATCCCCCCCTTACTTCCAATTATAGCGCTTGAGGGAATAGATGCCTCTGAGCATGTGGCAGTGCTAGGAATGATTGTTAGTCGCCTCAATGAGACCTATCTGGAAGACTTGCACGGTCAGGTTCGACTCGTGTTTCGTGAGGAGGTGCCTCCTCTCCTTGGTATGGTGGGGGATGGGTTTTTGGTTGTTGTCCGAGGACGGTGGTCGAACGGGGTTCTCGGGGTTATCAGCATAGAGCTTCCTCCCGCAGAGAGGCGAGAGGACACGCTTCGGGACATTGGCTCAGATTACGACCTTTTTGGTTACAGACCAACGGATATGGCGGCTGCACAGCTGCAGGAAAAGAATTCACTTCAGTCAGTGATGATTGTGATGTCGCACGTTTACCTCGATCAGCCATCGACGGTGAATAAGTTGGTTTACTTTTTCAAGGAGATGCAGAATCGGACCGAAAGCGAGCTCGTGAACACGACCTTGGTGATGGTGGGTGATTTTTCCTCTTCGACGACGCAGTACGATGACGTCTTGCATCTTCCTGACCCATTTGAGGGCGGCGATCGCTACAAACTGCTCATGGACGCCCTCGCCACGCTGATTGCGACGCACGCGCCGAGGCTTGCGCAACACGCCCAGGTTGTCCTCGTCCCCGGGTCCAACGACGTGACGGGGCTTCTAGGCGTCTTGCCGCAGCCTCCCATCGTGGGTGCTTTCACGAAGACGCTGCAGTCGCGCCTGAAAAAGGTTGTCTTTGCCCCAAATCCGTGCCGCCTGCGGTTTTTTACGCACGAGATGGTGGTGGCGCGCCGAGACTTTTTTCGCTCGCTGCGGGAAAGCGGGCGTGCGTTTAATTGGGCCACCGCAGACGCCCCCAACTCCATCACCGCCTTTGAAAGCGTCGCGAAGACGATCCTGGACGAGGCACACTTGGCACCCGAAGTCAAGGAGGGGATTTTGTGGAAGGCGGATGGGACGCTTTCGTTGCTGACGCTTCCGCACCTCCTCGTCCTCTGCGACAGCACCGAGCAGTGGGAGTGCACCTACAAGGGAGTTCGTGTGGTGAACCCGGGCTCGTTTTCCCTCGCCTCAACCTTCCTGTGGTACACCCCCTCCGATGGCGAATGCAGCCTCAGCAGCGTCGAGTCCTGACCTTCACAGAAATGCTTCATATACACACATATTCTGCACCTTCTTACTCACAAGCCTGTGACCTTGCAAGTCTTTGATGATGCCAATATATGGAGTGACTGGGCCACTACCAGTGTTCTACTGCAGCAACTTCCTTTTTTCTTTCCTTTCTTTTCTCCCCTTTGTGTGTGTGTGTGTGTGGGTGTAGTTTTAGGAGTCGTGCGGCTGGCGTATGAAGCGTGGGCGGGAGGTGTACGCCGAGGGGGGTGAGGAGCGCCGCAAGAAGGTGGTGGACCTCATCCGCTCGCTGCGCTTCTCAGTTCCACTTTACCGCCTGAGGCAGCAAGAGGGACGGCGGCGCTGCGCAAAGTGCGGCAAGCGCCGGCAGTACTACTGCTACGACTGTCTGACGGTTGTCCACCCGGAGAGTCATCCGCCGCCGCTCTCGTTGCCGTTGAACGTGTACGTCGTCCTTCACCCGGGCGAGCAGCGCGGGAAGAGCACGAGCCTGGCCGCGTCCACCATCTCCCCCGACCTGCACATTGTGGAGTATCCGGAGGTGCCGAGCGGCTTGGATCCGGCCTCTACGCTCGTGCTGTACCCGAGCAGCCAGAGCACGGAGCTGGGCGACATCGCCGACCTGGACGCCGTGAAGAACGTCCTCTTCATTGACAGTACGTGGCAGCAGAGCAAAGCGATTGCCCGTGACGAGCGCGTCTGCAGGTTTAAGCACGTTCGCATCAAATCCCAGACGTCGCTCTTTTGGCGGTTTCAGAACAATGATCCCACCTACTTGGCGACGGTGGAGGCCATCTACTACTTTCTGCGGGAGTTTATTGCCAACAAGAGACAACGCGGCACAGCGGACGCGACGCCGCCGTTGTACCGCGGGGAGGTGGACGATTTGCTCTTTTACTACATCAACCAGTACGTTGCGGTGCAGCAGCGCTACAGCCACGACGCCACGATGCAGTACACAACCCGACACTTTGACGGCTACATTCTCCCCGGCAGCTGCTGGGACGAACTTGTGGCCCCACCGCCGCGGGACCCGGGCGAACGCAACGCCGCCTGAGCGGCCCGCCGCACTGACGCACGGAAGTGGCTTTTTCAGGCAGCAGCACACGCCCAGCCACACACGCATGGAATTATTTTGTCAAGTACGAACTTCCACTCCCTGGCGGTGCCGCTTTACGCAGTTTGCTTTCACCCCCGCCTGTTTTTGTTACTATTTATTCCGCCCTCACTTCTTTGACTCTCGCAGTTCCCTGCGGATGGCTCCTCCCCGTTTAGTGCATCCGCGACTGTTTATTATTATTTTTTTTCTTTCCTCTTTTCTTTTCGTTTTCTCTCTCTTTGCGCCTTTTCCCTCAACCCCGGCTTGGCACCCGCCGCCGGCATTTACCGCTTGTGTGTGTGGTGTGTGTGGGGGTGGGG